CCCTTTTTCTAATGGATTAAGGTTCCAGGACAAAAAGTGTGAACCACCAGAAAACCCGAGGCATTTTTTGAAACTCCGGCTTTAATGCCTTTTTTTTTTCGTGTTCTTCCGTCCTCCCTCTCTTTCCCCCCTTTTTTATTCTATTTTGTTCTCGCACGCCTTTTTTTCTTCTTCTTCTTGAAGTATACCACTTTGCTCATCCTTCTTTCATTTCACTCTCACTCACCCCATTCACCCCTTACTTTTTGTTTTTCAACCTCTTTCTTTCTCCTATTTTTTTTTATTTTTAGCTCTTCCTTACTTTTTTTTTTTTTTTTTCCTTCTCTGTTGCTGATTAGCGATGACTGAAAACAATCTCTTTCAATTAGCCCAAGTTGTTTCTGACTTGTCTCCTATGGAACACCGAATACATCAACGACGAACATTACCTTTACGCAAAGTAAGTAAAATGAAAGAGATGACGGATGATGAAGCTCGAAAACAAAAACAAAAAAAAAAATACTCAACTCTTGTTTTTTCGGGTCAGAACGCTTGTGCTGTTTGTGCTGTTTGCTTTACTTGCTCGAAGGTAAGAAAAAAGTGCTACGTTGGAGGAGTGGGATAGCCTGTTTAATTTTATTTTTTTAAAAAGAGTTATGCAACCACCTGTACCTGCGATGAATTGCAACCTCGACGAGGAAAAAACCTGCCAGAAAACGGATTGGATTCACGAGCAAAAAAGCTCAACAAAACCGATAAACAGGACTACGATTTTACTATTCGATGGCTGCAGGACCATGCTCATTCTATCTATCGGGACGAAAGAAATCGCATCATTGGATTGGAGCAACAAGCCGAAGTAGGTCTCTGCAAAGCCCACAGCTCCACCTTGTACCGAGCCAAGAAACGCTGGGAACGGGAGCATCGCTCCTCCTCTCCCATGGATCTCATGGACCGTGACCCCCCTTCCTCCTCCTCCTCGTCCTCATCCATGGGTGGTATCGCACGCAAGATCCAAGAATTTCAATACAACCAGCCTGCCGTCCATAATATGGAACCGGACCTCACCATGACTCCGTCGACTTCCTACAAACGAAAACGCATCGATGCTCCCCAAGCCAGCGCCTCCACGCCCATCTTTGCCTCTGGTCCTCTGATGAAAGCCGCACAACACTCCATGTCGTCACCGCCCATGTCCTTTCAACTGCCTCCTTTGCACCAGACGCCACCTTCCCCTTCACCACAGCCACCTTCGTCCGTCTCCTCCTCCTTGAACACCCTGTCGTCCTCCCTCCAGCATCAACTGTACTTGACGCCCAAACATCGTCCCAACATGCTACGCCATCCCTCACCTCATCACCACCCTCATCCTCCCCATCACCTTCCACCCCCTACCCCACAGTCACCTCTGCATCAACAGCCTCAGCCCATGCATCCACCTCATCATTCATCCCCCTCCACCCCTCCATTGGCCACACCGAATCAACAACAGCACTCTCCCACCTCACCTTTGCCTTCGCTCCTCCTCCCTGTCCAACATCCTCAAGTCGAAACTGTCTCGTTAAAAAGCATGCCCTCCGATGATCCTACCATTTATTTTATTCGCAACCTTGCCATCACCGATACCTTTACCTTTCGCCATCTCTTGGACGAAACCGATATCACCGATGCCCCTCCCCCCGGAAAACGCATCATCATCACCGACACCACAAACGACCGTATCTTCCCTCTCAGTCAGGCCATCCGCAGTGTCCTGCCCAATCCCTCTTCTACTCATGTTGAATTCTGCCTTGGTTTAACCGATAAGGCCCCTTTTGATTGGAGCTCATGTGCATGATCTCATCCTTTCCCTTCTAGATTCCTTGACCCATCATACCTATTATTTTTTATTTTCCCCTTGCCATTTCACAAAAAAGAAAGTTTCACATGTCCACACTCTCACATTTTTTTTTTCTTACCCTTCTTCCCCCCCCCTTTTTTTTTGCACCTTTTGGTCTTTTTTTGATTCCTAAAGTGTCTTCTTTTTATTTGATGACATGCTTGTCTATTTAAAATAAAGCAAAAATGCCTTGCTCATTCTCACACAAAATAACAACGTCGCACACTCGCACTAGATGCTGGGTCTTCAAAAAAAAAAAACCGGTCTTTTTTTTTTATTCGTTTTTCTTTTTTTTTTTTTTCAACATCGTATTGGTCATGACAGACCAAGGACGGATTTGTGAATATGATCCTCGTAAATTAGATCATAATGTGCAACAAACCTTTTACAAATCCTACTATGACCACCGGAAACGATCATGGATAGGCACCAAGATGAAAACCTATACTCGTTGGTGGTCGTACGGTCTGGTGGCCATCCTCGCCCATGCTGCCTCACAACCGCCATCATTTGCTCGCACTTTACTCGCTGACACATCTCTCTGGAGCCTCAGCTTTGGTGTGTCTTGTTATCTTTGGCTGTCTCACATTTATAACAGCAATCAACAACAGTCGATCGCTGCCTTGGCCCATTCCCTCGACACTGCCGATGACGACACCAAACTCTGGGTCATGCTCCAAGGCTCCTCCATGGCAGGCGTTATCCTGCTAAGGCTCGGTACCGACGAAGCCCAAATCCAAGTCACCGCCTTTGATCCTTCCATAGAAATGGCGCTAGTTCAAACTGCAATTCAATCCGCCCGAGATCAAGGCATCGCCGTTGTCACGCAAGTTCATTCACGGAAAAGCACCCTGGATGGTTCATTCTAAAATGGTCTTTTTTTCTTTGTTGTAAGTTGTATTTGTGTTTTATATATCCTATTTTTTTTATTATTATTATTGGAATTGAACAATAAACAATGCCAGTGTTTTACGTTTTTCGCTTACCATAGCATTGCATGAATCGCCCTCGGTACAAGAGATGCCTGATCTATGAATCATCCTCGGTCTACAGGTCTGATTTTTTTTTCCTTTCTCTCTCTCTCCCTCCTTTTTTCTTTTTTTCATTCCCGCTCGAACACGCCATGACAGTCAAAGATGATCCTGCATTGTTGCACTTGTTTTCGCCCACCGCCCTTTCCATGGATTTGTCTTACATCGACAAAGCTTACTATGAGCTGCCTATGAGCCGAACCGCTAGCAGAAAATCCATAGAAATGTCACAACACTCCTTGCACTCGGCTCTGTTCAACCGTGCCTTGTCTCTCTTGACCTCCATGTCCCGCCTGGACCTGTAATTTTTTTTCTTTTTTTTGACAAAAAAAAAAAAATGCGTGTTGACATTTGACCTTTCTTTCTAAAAAGCCATAGCTTGAACCTCCTCACCTTGCCAAGCCAGATCAGCAGTCTAAGTCATTTGACCCAGTTGGATCTCTCTCATAATCAATTGACCTCTTTACCTGCCTCCATCCAACAGCTCAAACACCTTCGCCATTTGAACCTCTCCCACAATCGCCTGACGCTTCTGCCACCGGTCCTCGGGCAACTTAAAAAACTCACCACCCTCAACGTTTCCCATAACTCCTCCCTCGACTCCATTTCCTCCTCCCTCTCCAATGCCATTCACCTGACGACTTTGGATATCTCCTTCACCAATATCGACACCCTGCCGGCTGAACTGGCCTGCCTGCTGAGCATCAGCATGGACCAATGCCCTCGCATCGCCAAGAACATCCGCGGGTTCACCACCTCACTCCAGCACGACCCACCCAGTCTTGTCGAGCTCTGTGCTCGCCACATTCTCGCCACTTCCACCTACCGGTCCGCTCTCAAATATTATCGCGAGAACCTGGTCACAAAAAAGAAAAAAAATGCTGTCCTGCCATGGCGCAACCCTCGCCCTCGTCTCCTGGGTCCCTCCTCTTCCGACGTTGCTCTGCAATGCCTCGAGCCCTTGTTAAGCCTGCCTAGCCATTTATGGGACTACATGCAAAACGCCCTGCCCTGCACCTTTTGTGGCAAGCCATTCGTCGAGGCCTGCGTCCCCCGCTACCGCATCATCCAGCGCCTTGATGAATCATTATTGCCCATCCGCTATTGCCTCTGCTGCGCACATTGGTCCGATGAAAACGATCGGCTGCTCAAACTCTTCTCCTCTGGCTGATGCTTTGCCCTTCTGTAATTTGTTCCTTTTTTCCATTGTAAAAAAAAAAAAAAAAAATGTCGCTCGGGAGCAGGCTCTCCGCTAACAAACAAAAAAAAGGTTGATCAAATAAACAAGTGTATTTTTTTAATGTGTAAACCAATGATTTTTTTGGTTTGTTTGTTACCTCCTGTGCCCAAATTCTCGGGCACATGTCTGGTGTTACTTCCCAAATTGGATGCCGGCTGGGACAAGGTTGGCTCAGGCCCCTTTTCTTCTTTTAGCAAGCCGCTTTTTTTTTTTTTTTTTTGGCCACAGAACGGTTGCCAAAGAGATCGTCCTTCTTCCATGTAACTTCATATCCCCCAAGAGTGAAATGTTCTTTTACCACCAGTTGCCAACCAGCCCTCCTTTTTCTTTCTTCTCCTTGGAAATGAGCATTTAAAAAAAAACCTGAGGAAATCAATTGATAATTGTCTACCATTACTTATTTCGTACAGGAAAAGCTCCAGCTGCCTCGGTCAGATCCAGCAGCCATAACAACTCGCCAACTCGCCCTATCCATGCCTAGAAAGGGAGTGGATGGACAAAGTCAGAGAGAGGAGAGGTGGTTTTGCCCGGTTGAGGGTTGCAGTGCATAGTCTACCTGCACCTTACTGCGCCAGGTCATCATCTTAGACACCTGTGCTTAAACCGTGAACACGCCTCACCCCACCTTGATTATATAAGAAGACTTTGACGCGAATCGACGTTGGTCTTTCGATAAAACACAGACGGAAAAAAAAAAAAGCAAGAGATGATTTAAACTCAGGACCAATCACTGGTGTCAAATCCCATCCTTGATTTTCCAGAGCTGGGATAAAAACCTGGGTTCAATGTAGCTTGAAGATCGAACATACTCGATGCCAACAAAGCAAGAATGGCAAAAAACAGAGCTCGCGCATGCAAAAGAGATATGTAATGCCACTTAAGAGATTCGAACTCTTGACCTTCGCTTTACGAGAGCGACGCTCTACCACTAGAGCTAAAGTGGCAATTTGTGACGTTATAAAATAAAGTTAATTCGATGCGATTGGCTGCATCTCGGCGGCCGGCGGCCCGAAAGACGGTCCGAATGGCCGCCGAGATGCCGGTGTTGCGCCATTGGTCATCAGAGCCACATTTTTTCAATCCTGCAAAGACACTGAAATGACATCTCCAGCAAATGAATGCGATCCTCCATTTCAGTAAAAGGCTAAAATGAGCCCAATACGTTGAAAACTTGCCAACCTGTTGAGGTAAACCCCTCTCAACATTCACAGTCGCAAGCTTATTGGGTAAAAAGTCTCTTTTTGGGCTGCACTCCCTGTTGGGTTGACTCAAATGAGCAACACCAACAGCCTTAGGGACGGCTTTCTACCTCATTGGTTGAAGATCGATGAACTCTCATTTTGCTAGTGGCCATGGCTGGGACCGATCAGGTGTAACGTAAAAAATTGCAAGAAAAAGAGGGATGGGTTGCGTTTATTTATTTACATGAAACGCGTCGATTGAATAAAAAATATGCTATTGAAAAAAAAAAGCATGGCGATGGCCTGTTAGGGAAGTGCGGAGTCCAAAACAGGTAGACACTTTACAGTTTGGGTGGGTGGATGTGTTTCCGGTCCTTGATATCCGTCGCTGGTAACTACCACTGTGGTCAAAAGGGACAAATGACAACCCAGGGCTAGGACCAAACGACTTGAAAAGCCTTAGTCGCCCTCCGTAGCACCCCGGTGGCATGCAAAGGCACCCCGTTTTTGCACCGACCCGACCGTCCCAGCCCAGTGCCGTTTGAGTTCCTGCGGTGCGCCGCCGTAGTTTCGTATATTGTTTACACTGAAGTTGTAATATAATGTGTATGAGGAGAAGCAGAGCTTTCGAATACTATATCCTATGCCTATCGTTTGAAGCATGGTGAATAGCCACTCTCTATTTTTTTTTTCTCCAGCAAACGAACACTCGCGGTGTGGCGGAGTATGATCGACCGAAAAAAAAAAAAACGGCTGCTGGAGGGAGGCGTCGTGTTTTTTTTTTCCAGCCTCTTTTCCTTTCTCCATATTTTTCTTTTGCTAGGTTTTCTTTTTTTTTTTTTTTTTTTTTTTTTGATACTTTGACATTAAAAGTAATGGCCACGTTTATAGATATTGAAGATGAAGGTAGCAGCAAACCAAGGAAAAAAGTGTGTTTGTCGCTGAATCGACACCTACAACGGCCTGAAACACAGGGGGATGCTTCCTCTGCCGGCCATCCTACAACCTCTTTTCCACCAAATGTCTCTTCAGAGGCGTCATCTGATTCATCAAAGAAGCAAGCACCTGATTCACAGTTCGATGGCGAGCTTGCCGATGGATGGTGGGACGATCTTGAGGTCAACAACTCGCTACTGGAACTGTTTGATGAAAACAATCGTAAACAACAAGTTGCTGCGGCCTTGAACTTGGACGATGAAGCCGATCGGTTAGGATCGTTGCGGATGGAGGATCAGGACCTGCTCTTGGACAATACCCCACCCACCTCTGCCGCTCTCAATGCCATTCCCTGCACACAGCAGCAAGTGAATGCGACTGAAGCCATGGACCTTGAATTCACATCGCCGGATCCCAACCCTCCTTACAACACAATGGCAACGACTTCAATCTCCACCACCACAGACGGGCCTGATCCCATGGATGATTTTGATATGTCTTTGGAACCTGCCACTGCCGATGCTGCAATCCAGCCCGTTTCTGCACCACCACCTGGTCCTCCTAGACGACAAGTGGGTGAGAACGTGTTTACCGAAGCCGTCGTCAAGACTTGGCAGGATTCTCGCATCAAGGCATGGGAAGGCCGTTACTTGGTAAGACACTGGAGTAAAGAGAAAGGCAGGGAAAAAAAAAAAAGGCGACCAATCTGATTGGAGGTTTTTTCCCTTGCAGAATCCTGAAGGCTTTTACTATCGATTCGTGACACCAGGTGAAGGTCAGCAAAACGGCGGCTGGTCATCAAAGGAGCATGACCTGTTTATGAAACGGTATGACGAATGGATCGGAAACAATTGGAAGATGGGCGCTGCATGGGGCTTGTTTAGCTGTGGCATACCCCACCGTGTAAGTCACTGGAACTGTGTAAAGGGGCCACTCACTTTTTTTTTTTTTTTCCTTCAGGTGGGGTATCAATGCATGAATTACTACCGGAAGCTACTGGAAAACAGAAAGTTGAAGGATGAAGCATATGAGGTTGTCAATGGCAAGCTGAAGCTGGTCAACAAGGAAAAAGCATCAGGCGGTGCCACACCCGTCACCGAGCTTGGGCCGGAATGGAAAGACGAATATGTCAAGGAGATCGAAGCCAATGTGGAAGAATGGCTCAAGCAATACCACCAGCGCACAGGAAGGTAAGTCATCATAAAAATAGGAGGGATGGGCGAGACACGCTTGTGCGCGCGCGGTTTTTTTTTTAATCAAAACTTTGGTAGTGCTGCTACAAGACCACCTCCCAAACCACGCTCAGCTCCCAAAGTTGCTCGCACCACGAAGCAACGAACGTCATCGTCTTCTGGCAAAATCTCCCGCTTGATCAAAGACCAGCATCGATTCAAGCGCACGGGTGTAGATGGCGATGACGAATACATGGATGCGCAAGAACCAGAGCAGGCTAATATCTCGGAACGGCGTGACTGGGCCCTCGAATGGGTCGAACGGCTGACAAGCTACAAAGCTTTTGTTGAGTATGCCTCGCTTCCACCAAGACACTTTAGAACAAAAGTATTCATAATTCCCTTTTTCAATACAGGCAATATCGTGAAAAACACATACGACACCAATACTGGATCGACAAGCAGGAATGGCGACGGGGCCTTGCAACCACAGAAATGTAAGTCCTTTTTTTTTTTTTTGTGGCAAGGGATACTCACAGCCTTCTCCTCTCATGAATTGATTATTAGGCGCATGAACCGGCAAATGGAGCTTTTACAGAAGCAAGCACAACCCGAGACTATGGGAACAAAACGACCTGAACCTCATCAGGCATCTCTCTCACGCTTCTTCTCAGGCGTGAAAAAAGCCAAAATCGATACACCAGACGAATTGATTCATCAAGTCCGCATTCCAAATGATCTCTACAGCAGCGTCAAACACATCCTACCGTTGTCTCGACAGCTTTGCGATGCTCCTGTCCCTTCCAAATCCATGTATTTTGAAGTCACCGACATGATGGCCTGTGTCGATCTCTTGAAAGAGCAAATGCAAGAAAAGGTGCCATCCCTCTCCAATATTGAAGGCCTTCTTATTGATCCTCCTTGGGAATACAATGTCAATGACGGCCGCCATGATGGGTCCTGTTCCTGGAATTTGTACCAAATGGTAAGCGCCAAGTCAGAAAATGACAGCTCAAGGCGGCCTGCTTATTTATATATTCCTGCTCGGTAGAAAATGCTGCTCTCACAGGTGTTGGAACAAATGTCTGCTGGGCTCATATTTATCTGGATTCACAAGTTGATTCAGGCTGACGTAGTGCGCATGATGTCAAGTTTAGGTATGCGAGAGAGAATAGTGGGGATGCGCGTGACAGCCTAGAAAGTAACACCAACCCGTTTTTTTTTTTCGCTTTCATTGATACAGGCTGTAGATATGTCGAGAATTTGGTGTGGTTCAAGAAGTCTGTCAACAACGTCCCCTTGGATATACCTTCGCCTTATATCAGCTCCACCAAGGAAATCTTGCTCATGTTCAAAAAAGGTGAAGGCATTGACCTGCGGCACCAGCGCACTGCTGACGTGATCATCGACTTTGAACATCCCTTAGCTGATTGGACCCACCAAGGTACATCACTGCCCAGAGATATATTTAAAAAAAAATGAGATTGCCTTCTTTGGACCGTTGTCTCACGCTGTCTATTTTATTATTAGAATATACCGAGCCCAAACCACCAGCAGTCTATGATATGATTGAAACCTTGCTACCTCAAGCTGGGTACAATGAAAACCTTAAACGAGGTCGATTTGTCGAACTGTAAGTCGGAATGGACGCTGTCACACCGTAGTAGTCGATATTCATTTTCCATTTTTGTTCTCCAGATGGGCCAAACGAGCAAACCCGAAGCGTGACGGCTGGCTGGCCTTTCATCAAATCAAATCCTTCACTGGCCGGCTTCCATCGAGCCAACCTGTAGAAACAATGGAGCTGGATCTTCAACAGAGCTCTTAGCACTCCTTTCGTCGAGCCAAAAAAAAAAAAAATAGCAATACTGTAAAGGAGGTTTCCTTTGAGCGGTGAATAAATATTTTTGACGGGCGAGCTGGTCATTTTCAAGTGCGCGCAAAGTCATATTTCGTGCACGTTTGCAAGCCTTCTAGTTCTTCCTTCCAGTGTCTGAGAGGACTACAAGTTTTAATCAAGGTTATTTCTCATCATTTTGTGTTGACGTGCAAACTTTGGGGTGAATTTATTTAACACAGGTTTGTCGTGTGGTTTTTGATCAGGAGGTCTGGGGGACCCCTCTGGCAAAAATGACCGATTTTTCGTTGTTTTTAGCGGAGGAATCGGCAAAGTCAAATCAAAACAGATGAAAAGTTGGCTGGGCAACCTTCCGCAATCGATTTGGTTTTTTCAGTGTCATGATCCTTCATGAATTTGCGCAGTATGTCGAAACCTCACCTTGATTGAATCACTCAAAAGTGCAGTGCAGCAATTGCTTTGTTTTTCTCGAAATGAAAAAAAAAATTGGACGGTCATATTCAATCTCCGCGCACTGCCATCGACTCAAGTAGGGCATTTCCAAAATATTTCAAAGGCCCTTCGTCCAACATTCTCCAAATCAATCCAAAGTCCCGATTTGATGTATGATCATGTTGCACTTGACGACGGAGATCCAGCGTTTACAAGAGAGTATCTACGATGGCCGATTACCAATGGACCTACATGCATTGGCCAGGCAGTGTATGTAGTAGCTGCTATGCGGAGACTGAATATGGCCGTCCAATTTTTTTTTTCATTTCGAGAAAAACAAAGCAATTGCTGCACTGCACTTTTGA